CGTCCGACTTGCGGGGTGTGGTGGATTTCTCCGCGCCGGGGGCCCAGGTAACACCGGGCTTCTGCCCTCGCCCCGCGGCGCGCTCCGAGCTCGTCCCGCCCTTTGAGCGGCGTCGCGGTGTTTCTCGGCGCAGTGCTGCGGCGGTGGTGTTGTTCCAGCCCGTTCTCTTCACCTGCTGCTTCCCTTCGTGCTCGACGCCAAGTCTTTAATTCCGTCCCGTTACTGGCTGGAAGACGCTGCCCTCCAGCGCTGAGCCTCTTACGGGTCACTGTCGCCTTTAAAAAACAGTTGCGTGACTAGAGAGGAGAGCAGCTGAGGAAGGGTGTGCAGCTCTGAGGGCCCAGGGCCCCTCTGTGCCCTTGGGCCGGCTGCCCGCGGGGTTACGGGACCCTGCACTAGGGCACAAGGTGCTGTCCCAGCCGCCCCTGGCCAGCATGCTGCCTCTTCACAGAGCTACTGCTTTTGCTTCTGTTATTTACTCCCGTAATGTTTAATTAGTTCTCTATGCTGCAGTAAGGGATCTCCAAAGCCTCTAATAGAACCACGTGTTACTTAAAGGGAGCAAAGGAACATGTGGATGGAAAAAAGTAAGTTTCACTATTGGAGCCAACAGTATTTCCTGGGCTTACTGGTCCTTGTCTTGGCCCTGAAATACCTGGGTGAGCTGGAGAGGGAGCTGGGATCAACTTCGCCCCCCACTGTGCAGTCTGTGTCCAGCGTTCTTGCTGTCTTCCCTTTGGTAAAGTTTCTTCTCCTTTCACACTCCCATACAATAAATACTTGGCTTAGCCATCAGGGCAAGTCCAACCGTTGCAGAGAATTAGGGGCATACAGTCAGGAGCACATCTGAAAGTAGTAGCCATCATGGTTAGTAGTTTACCATGTCTTGACTGATGGAGAAGTGATCCTTTAAATTCATCTTCCATTTTATCACCTTGCAAAAGGATAATGGATATCTGCTAACCAGGGATTTTCTACATATGAGCCTATATGAAAAAAAGGAGTACGGAATATAGTTAAAATTAAACTTTGCCTAATTTTTCATAGTTCAAATGCTTAGACTTCTTACTGTTCTATTAGAATATATATTTTTCTATCTTTTCAGACTATAATTTTGATATTGTTAACAGGACACAAAACCTGACCCATATGAAATTGTTCATGGTGTTAGCATTAAACAAGGGAGTTAACATTTCAGCCTTTCTTGAGCTTGCAGCAATCCTTTATCAAATAAAGGATTCCAGCATTGCAGCCCTTCTGGGAAATTCAAAGTACTTGAAAGCATCACAAGCATCTGTCCGCTCTCCATATCATTCTTTTTGTGCCTGTTATCTTCTAAGATCAGTTGATAGCTTACTAGTGAAAGCATCCTTTATTCCTCTTCCCCCAGGTTAAAAACATGTGGCTTTTCTCTTTAAGAAGAGCTGTGGGCCAGGCAGATTTGCCCAGATACTGTTGTTCCTTTTCTTTCAGAAAACTGCTTCAAGTGATTGAGTGCTTCAGTGAAGTGTGACATACCCCAGCTGCCCTGCTACCAGGCTTATTTAACTGATTCAGCACATGTAATTCTTCAGCGTAGAAACTGCTCCTGTTTTCCAGAAGTCCTGGCAGCAGATGATGTGTAAGCAGTTTGAGAAGACAGAGAGGTGGCAGAGTTAGTCAAAGGAAGAGCCTTCCTGGAGCCATTCTGCAGACAGGACTCTGAACTAAGCTCCTCAAGGCTGGCAGTCACAAAGCTGCTTTTGGCAGAGAACTAAAAAATTGGTAAAACTGAGCACAATGCTAGAAGCTGCTGCCCACCACTAGTTTAGAGTTTTCTTACAAATTCTATGTATGTAATTTAGACCTGTTACTGAGAAGACATTAACCAGAGCTGTCAGCCTGCAGAAGGAATGATTTACTTATTCACCACTGCAGAGTCTGCATGTGAAGGCTTTAATTTCATATACACTTTAAATTGTCTTAAAGTCTTGCCTGTCTTTGCCTGCTTATTGCCGCTATGCCTGGCCCGTTCTTTCCTTATACAAGCCTGTACTTTTGCGCAGCCATGTGGAGAGCTGGACTGGGGAACTAAGCCAGAACAAAACCACCTTGCCTCTACCGTGCCCTCCCTAAGACAATTCCCAGTCCTAAAGGAAGAAGGGAGTAAGAGTACAGTGGATGTGTTTGTGGTTTTTTCAGCAACTGTTGGCTTACTGCAACTTAAATACATGTGTTATTGTGACCCAAGAGAGTACATCAAAGAAATATATCTGGCTAAGTCTTGAGCTGGTGACCCTGCTGTTGGAAGTGGCAATGTGATATTTAGAATTTACAGGGTTTCTGCAGTCCTTTACATCAGACAACTTTGGCCACTTCATCACTGTTCTACTTTTCCATAAATTACAGATGAGAATAGTCATCTACCCTACCGGATCATGAGTAACTTGTATTTGGAACATTTTTAGTACCCACAGGTACTAAATATTGCTCTCTAATGAAGATTGATAATTATCAGAATGTTTTATAATGATGATGCTGTACTGTGGAAATGGACAGATAGTGCTGAATTTTTTCTCATTGGTATGAATTGTTAGGGGTTTTTTATGAATGGAGGGCATCTCTCCTCATCCCGAAGTACTGTAAAAACTGTAGGTACCTTTTGATCCTTGTGTTTAGTACATACTATCTCTGTTAGCAGCATGCCCTGTTCTGGTCACAATTGCTTAGACAATAGTTCTGTGGTATTTTTGGATGAGTTTTGTATTTCCTCTTTTTTTTGTGGTTTTTTTTTTGGTTTTTTTTTTTTGTTTTTTTTTTAACCCAGATCTGTTTTCTTTTGCCAGGTGTTCAGATCACAGCTCAGTATTTCTTCAGTCAGTGATCAAGATGCCTACAGAGCAGGATTACAGCCAGTTAGCCAGTGGAAAGCCTATGGCCTCAATGGGTATCCGGGTAGGTGTTTCTGGTTTCAAGAAGAATTAAACCTTGTTGCATTGGATTTGGGCACATTCCATTTTATCCTCCTTGCTCTGCCTGAAAAAGCTGTTTTGGTTTGCCTAAGTGTAATTTAATGTTATTTTAAGTGCAGGAGGGCAAACAAGCCTGCTAAAAGGTGGGATGTGGCTATATATATGAAGGTGAGAACAGAAGGGTCGGTTGTTTCACAGTCTGTGATCAACCAGGCCATCCCTCGTGAGAATGGATTCCTGTTGCTTTTGATAGAGATTTTGTATTTCTGTAGCACCTATCTTTCCTCAACATATATCATGAAAACTAGATAAGTGACTGAAACACAGTCATTTCAGGGCTGAAGTGTGGGATCTACTTGCTGGTGTAGAACAGCTGGAGTACAATAAGTAAATGAGAACCTCCTGTCCTATTCAAGGTACAGAGTAATTTCATTAGGCAGGTTATTTGACAAACTGAAATGGATCTTAGGTTTGCAGGTCACCTGGTAGAATCACAGAAAGAATTTAGATTGGAAGGAACCTCCAGAGGTCTAGTCCAACTCACTGCTTAAAGTAGGGTCAAGCTGAAAGTTAGATCAAGTCACTTAGAGCTTTGTATAGGTGAGTTTTGGAAATCTCCAAGGATAGATATTATACACCTTCTCTGGGCACCTGTTCCAGTGTTTGGCCACTCTTGTAATTTTTTTTCACCTTATATCTAATCAAAATTTGCGTCGCTGTAATTTATGACTGTTGCGCCTCACAATCTTGCCATGGACCTCTGAGAAGAATCTGGCTCCACCTTCTCTATAATGCCCATAAAGGTAGCTCTTATGAATATAGGCTGATGCGTAATCAGCATTTATTACCACAAGGGTGCACTACTGACTCAAGCTCAATTTACCCTCCAAGACCCCCTGGTCCTTTGATTTAGAGCTGCTCCCTGGTCCTCAGGTTGTACTGTTGCATGGGGTTATTCTGCCCCAACTGCAGGATTATCACTGTTGAACTTCCTGAGGTTCTTGTTGGTCTATTCCCTTGGTTTGTCAAGATCCCTTTCAGTGACAATAGTAGCCTCCAGCATATCCACTGCTGCCCCAGTTTAGTGTTACCTGTAAGTGTGATGAGGATGAACGTCCTGTAGTCCAGGTTGTTGATGTAGATGTAGTTATCAGTCTTGGCCCCAGAATCAACCTGAGCTCATAACAGCCACTGGTTAGACTTTGGACCATCAAATCACTGTTCTTTAAGCCTGGTGGCCTAGCCAGCTTTTGCTCACCTGTTTAGTGTACCCATAAAATCCATGAGCTCCCAGTTTGGCTCCAATGATGCTGCAGGAGAGACCAACTGGAAAGCTCTGCTAAACCTAAAGTAAGCAGCATCCCCTGCTCTCCTCTTGTCTGGGCATCTTGCTGTAGCAGGCAGTAAGGCTGGTTAGACAAAATTTGCCTTCAGTAAATACATGCTGGCTGTTTCCAACTACCTTTTGTCTGGAAATGTTTGTTGTGAAAGTTTGCTCCATAATCTTACCAGGGGTTTTTCTAAGGCTGATGAGTTTGTAGTTCCGCAGATACTGCTTGTTTCAGAGATTCTTGTTTGCTTGATTTTGGTTTTTCTCATGTTCCTTTTGGTTCATGGGGTCTGCAGTCAGAGTCTGTATGGGTTGCTGTGAAGCCAGCCTACCATTTCTGAAACAGAGGCAGCCACACTAGCCATTTGGCATGGTTAATACACAGGGAACTGAATAATTTCAGGAGAAAGGCTTCCGTCTCTTCTTGCCTCTGTATGTTTTTTTGTTCTGCTTACCTGTCATATTATAGCTGCCCTTGCTTGGCCTCACTTGTCATTTTATGTCTGTCTAAGCGTCTTTCCTAGCAATCAGCTGGAGGGGGAGGGAGGAAGTCACAAGTGTTCCACTTAACGGCATTTTTCTTCTGCTTTGACAAAGAAAACCTTTCACTAAAATGAAATGCAAATACATTAACAAATTCTCAGACCTGTTTAGAATCAAGTTGTGTGGACAAGAATATTTTATCCTTTTCCAGCTACCTTTATCTGGACATACTAAAGCACTATAAGATATTTAACCAACTGTCCCAATAGTCCTCTAAAATAAGTTAGAATTTCTTTAGTTTGTCTATGGGCAAATGGAAAGGAAGTTATTTGGTTTTGTGCCCACAGAGAGCAATGAAATATAAGACTAGGGAAGCTGGGTGAATTTCTGTTGCAATGTCCTCAGTTCTGTGAGATGTGGCTGATGCTGTCTTTGGGTCTTTGTAACTGACACAGCTTGGTTTTATGAGGTGGTGTTCTTGTTGCTGGACATCTGTGTGTCTTACCCTTTTACTGAAGCTGGAGACCACTTTCACTAGGTGTAAATTAATTCCTGGTGTGCCACAAGATTTTGCTGCAGTAAGAGAATAGCATCTGCTTCCTTTGCTTATACAGATCCCCAAAGAATTTGTCTTTTGCCCATTCCACTCAGACCAACTCTTTCAAGGCTAAGAGGTTTGACTGTGTTGTCTTCAAAGCTTGTCTGTGGTGGTCTTCAGTCAGTTCAGAAAGATTGCTACAGAAATGTATTTCTTACTCTTCTCCCATGTGTGGTAAGTCACTGATTTCTAGCACTATTGGCACTCCCAGGAGCTATTAGTCTTAAATGTTAGTGTAGAATTTTATAGTAAAACTCTGCAACTATTAGAAATTCAGGGTTTTCAGCCTTTCTCAACATCAGAAGTGTAGCAGTAACCCACTTTTTGTTGTTCTCACTTTTGTAAATGTAGACCAATCTGGTTTCTTAGGAGTAAGCAATGAAAGGTTTGGAGAGACATGAGCATGTTCTAAGCTTCTGATACAAGAGTCATAAAATGTGGTTTCTTGTTCTAGCTCTGTGCGTAAGTAGCCTTCCAGGCTTCAATTCCTTCATTAATACCTGGAGATAACACATATGTAAGTAGAGTGTAATTTCATGAATGTAGTAGAGTGCTTTGAGAACCTCACATCAAAAGCTGTAGACAGGAAGGGCAATATTATTCTATTTTATGCAGAGGCATAGAAAGTAAATGTAATGCTTCTGGCAAAGAAACTTATTGTAACTGGACCTATCAGAAGGCTGCCATAGTCTGAAGTTGCAGGGAATGGAGTGAAATGAATGACAGTATGTTATTAATACACTGAAGGCTCTTTTTCTAACCAGTTAATTTAATCTTGTGAGGTCTGTGAGATACACTGGCGGGAAGCTTTTTCTGTGCTTTTATTACCACTTTCATTAGGCCACAAGGCAGGTTTGTATTGTATCATTGAGGCTTCTAGCCTTGCTTCTTCGTTTTTCATCTGGTTTTGTCTGTGTTTAACTTGATAGGACTGAGAAGTTCAAAAAGACACAGTAGGGCAAAGCCTTGAAACCTCCTTTTCCTTTGTTCCTCCTGTGCCCTTATCTCTCTTTGTGAATTTTGTGTTGCTGAGTCTTACTGAATTGGCAGTCTTTGAAAGAGTG